AAATGACAAAGACAAAAACTAAAGACATTTATTTTTATTTCCGTTAACCAGCACGATACGGCCAAATATGTCATCACAATGAAAAGCTTCATATCTTTCCAGAATTATCACGATAAATGTCAAATCGTTATTTCTTTTGAGTTTAAAGGCCGATTTCTGTTTGAGTGAAAATTGAAGAAACCTTATGGTTAAATAGTGGTTTAAACTCGTCTTTATGGCCAAACAGTGGATCACTTCCCAAGTCTGAGGCAGAACATTCAGAACTATTGTGATAAAATCTTGGTCATCAAATGTGCACGAGTGAAATTAAGTAAAAAAATTTCAGTCCTTTTTCCTCAACAAAATAATCTTAAGAAATTAACTCCTAATTCGTTTACGATTGAAATCAAACATTTATTGATCATTTGTTATATTGAATTGCGATAAATAATGTTTGTTTTGTTGTTCAGCCCTAAATTACCAAAAATGTTTTTTCAAACCTAGTTTTTTCGTCAACAACAACAATAACGTGATTATATGGCGATTGCAGACGCCTCATCGCTTCTTCATACTGAGCGCCGCTGCGTTTTATCACAAACACATCACTGCAGATTATGTGAAAAATGTATTCATTTTTTTATCTATAAGTCACTGAGTTTCTTTTGAAGATGATTGTAAATGTTTTATCTGCATGAAGGCGTCTTAACGTGCAGGTTTTTATAGCGTGCTGTTGCACGTGTGTAAACGTAAAATGTTTTGATTGTACTGTTGACCTTTTGTGTCCTGCTGCCTTTCTTGGCCAGGGCGACCTTGAAAAAGAAGTTTTTATCTCAGTGTGTTAGATAAAGGTTAAATAAATAAATAAAACTCATGCAACAACTTAATAAAGTCGTCAGCCCTAAAAAACTAAATCAAATTAGTTGCAGAATCATTTTCAAATCCATTGATTGTTTTGCAGGATAATAAACGTTGAGATATTGATTTTAGACACCAGGTGATCAGGACTTTGTTCAGACCCAGTGGCCACTTTTATTTCCCAGAGTTCCTCTGGTTCTCCTGCTTATATAACCAGCAGAGCTGCAGCCCGCAGGCATCAATGAAGACCAGCAGCACCAAAACACTGTGGGGGGGGGGGGGGTTAGCCTACTGTAATCTACATGCACGGTGCGCGTGCGTGCGGTGGGGGTTGTCTTCCTCTGAGCCTCCACACACACACACACACACACCATCTGCCGGCATCCCCCAATTCATAAAACATGACACCGGCGCGGTGTCTGTAACCGAAGAGAAGCCAGATCCTGGACTGGGTTTGTTATTTGACGGCAGTCCGCTTATATAACACACGCGCGCGCGCGCAGCTGTATCAAGAGGGACGACACGATCTGAATGACACCGCGTGCACAGGGCTGTAATTAACTTAAACAGTTTCATAGTGATTACACGCGACACGTTACGTCATCCGGTCCGTTATATTCCTATAACCTCAAACAGACAACCGTGATCACCGTGCGGGTGAAAGTACAGACGGTAATGTGTGTAACTTTAAAGCCCCGCAGAGTAACGCCATTTTGATTCGTTACGACGCTTGTTATTCACTCTCACACACACACACGCGTTAGTTATGCGGTAATCACGCTACGGTAACGAGCCGCGGTGTAACGCGGCTGTTCCGGTTTAAACGGAGAAATGTTCGTGGATTTCCCGTCGAAACAGCCGTTAATCCGCTTTCTGTAACGTTAAGCGGGTAACGCGTTACCGCCGAGCACGAGCTCCCTGCTGCTGCTGCCCACTCAAAATGTCTGTGTCCGACCTCCGCGCGCCCCACGGTCACGCCACCGAGCAGGCTCGCGAGGAAATATAGATTAAAAAAGAGCTCTTAAAAACACGTTAAATGTAGTTTTAAGCTCATTTAACTGAGTTTAGTTGGATAAAACGCCGGTACATGAGGTTTAACGTCGAAGTTTAAGCCGTTGGCGACTTAAGATGTCCGCTCGCGGAGAGAGACGAAGCACCAGCCGTCGTCGTTGTTGTTGTTGAGGTTTAACACGCAGTGTTTTTCCGGGACGAAAGCCCGCGGGGAGCTCCGAAAACACCCCGGTACACAAACTAACTATCCGCAGTTATATTTATCATTTCTCGTATTTTTCGTTAAACTCCGGTTCCTCCGAGCGGCTGATTAAAAGTTAAACTCGCGCATTAGTCCGTGAAGATGAACGCGGCATAGCGAAACTGTTTTGGTGAGATAAGCGTCCCGGTGACATAAGGACCGGGACACAGAGCCAGCAGAGGGGTTCAGGTGGCGGAGCCTCCCCGAGAGAAGGGATTTCACCGGGGAGGAGGAGGAGGGGGCGGGCGGAGATGCTTCCACGTCCATCTGGGACCGCTGGTATTATCAGTCCGACGCGCGGCGGTAGTTCATCAAACTATAACCTGATCGATAAACGCTTTAACGGACCGAATGTCCGACGGCCAACCTGCCGTTTATAGAGTTCTCGGTATGCGGAGCCCGTGTGGTGAACCACGGGGAGCAGCCAGCCGGGCTCCTCCGGTCGCACATCACCTCCCGGGCTATTTCAGGCAACAATTAAAATGTTATTAGAATCAAAGCCGCTCACCTCCGACGGGCTCCGGTTCCGCAGCTCTAAAGTGATCCTCTTCTTCATGTCCATTTTGAAATACTTGGTCGGTGGCGGTTTAACGGCAGCGGGCGGTGAACAGTTGAGAAACTCCCGGGGACCGGAGCGGCAGCTGCTCTCCTCTGATAGCCACAGTTTGCCTACTGATCCTCCATGATACCTCGCGCCCTGCCCCCTCCCCTGCCGTCCCGCCCCCCGCTGCACACGGTTGGTCGCGTGCCTCTCCGCCGCCGCTGATTGGACGGTGGGCACGTCAATCAGGACTGATCGGCCATAATCCGCGAGCTGGGCGGTTATAGCTCCCAAAGCCTGTGGCGGCAGCCTGGAAAGGCCTCATGGGAGATGTAGTTGTCAAATATCATGTTAACACAAGTTAATAATTTTTATTTATTACAATGACAAAACCTCCCGTCTGTGTAAGTCTGCGAGACGCCACTGTCCGAAATTGATTTTGCTTTAATCTGTCAATTTTCAGATTTTAATTTTAATTTATTTTGCAACTATTACCTCCATACTTTAATAAAATGTACAGAAAAATCTTTAATAATACATATAAACATTATAATTTGTCCATCAACCACAGATGGCGCTAATTTCATATTAGCATTTTCCAAAAGTTTGACCGGCCTTTCTAAAACGCTCCACATAGAATCATGTATTATTTCAAAGTTTGTTTTCTAGAGCACGTTAGCTAGTCCAGATCTATAAGTGATGTGCTAATGTGACATTTTTAACTGTGTTTCTATCACGTTAGCTAATCTTTAACAGCCGTTTTCTCGAAATGACACATTTCCTGTACGTCAAGTCATTTTCTTCGCCCTTCAAGGCCGTTAAATCATAATAGTTTTATACGCTGCTTCTGAGGTCTTATAGCGAGACATTTACAGATTAATCTCATTTTATGTTGCATTTTATCTGTGAATATGTGGGAAAAACGGGTCCATCACACATATAGGTATATTTTCAAATTCCATGAAAAAACAATATTTAGATAAACTGTTGTGTATATTATCACAATAAAATCAAAAATCAGTCTCTCAATCAATGCGCTGGAAAATGGATTTGTGTGATGTGCAAATCAGCGCACGTTTAATGAGGAAAAGCCTAATTTGCATATTAAAAAAAATAATTAAAAAAAAGCTTCTATTTATGTTTACTTTCAGCTTGTAAAGTTTCATTGTGATGCGAGTAAAGTTGTGAAAAAACATCTTAAAGGTCGCGTCTGTTAAAAAATACACTGAAGCTAATGCGACATAAGCTAGCTGGGGAGCTAGCAAGCTAACGCTCCTCTGTTGCTTGTCGTCACACTTGGGTTCCATTAACTGATCAGGTTTGATTGATGTGTTCATCAATCAAACCTGATCAGTTATGACCGTCATTTTTCTTTAAATAAAATAAAACTGCAAAAAAGTGATAAACTGAATTTGTCACTAATGAAGTAAAAGAAATTGTGTATTAGCTTATTAACATTATGATAAACACTATGTAAGGAAAATAATCTCGCTTGGTCCATTGAGGCAGCAGCTCTGGAGCTTTCAGTCGTAAGCAGATGTCCAGCTATCATGACTGCTGCTGAGGAAGATCATGGAATGTGATCAAAAGCTCCAGAACAGTAAATAAATGTGGAATGTTTGTTTTGTCAGTCTCTGTTTCAAAGGTCAAGAATTAACTTTCAATCCAGTATTTCAAATGTTCGACCAAAGAAAAAACCTTCTCAACTCAAGGTCCACTTACTAGGATTTTACACCCAGAAACCTCCTCAGTGGATGCAATCTGCTCAGAAGTTTCTGTATGGTTAGTCCATTTGTTAAGAAAGGCTGCACGATGTTGAAAGCTCTGGAAGTGACTGTCAACAATCAGATTATAAACTGCCAAACACCATGACATCATTTATATTTTTATTCTCGTAAATGTTGGTTTAAAGTCTGTTTTAACAGAAGTTGCTTCCTGAGCTTGTGAATTTTGCTTTATCACATTTATTCAATTGTTTCATCTCACGTCACAACAAGGTTTATGGTCTTGTCTTGATACACTGGTCTTGGTCTTAACTTGGTCTCGGTTTGGGTGGTCTTGACCACAACAACTAGAGGGAGTTGGACAAGCTGAAGACACAAAACATCGGTTCTGGTCTTGACTCTGTCTCGATAAACTCTGGTCTTGACTACAACACTAGGTTCTGGTCTTGACTCAGTCTGGCGTCACGTTTATCCTGTAATAACAGAGACATATTGTTGCACCAAAGGCTGATGTGTTATTCGTCAGAGCCAAAGAGCTGCAGTGTTAAAACACGCCAAGGTGTGTTTGTAGCCGTCAGTTCAACACCTGAACGCCTCGTGACGAGTTCAGATGTCCCCGTGTGAAAGCATCAAAAGCACAACAAGAAGCTCTTAGTCAAAAAAACAAGTGTTTATATTTCAGATTACCAATGCAGGTAGGCAGCCATCATCATCATCATCACTGTGAAGCATTCAGGTACAGTTAAAAAAATACAACTTTATATGTACATAGAAAAAGGTTGGTTTCGCTGAGCTTATAAAAATAACTATCCTACTCAACTGAAAAGATGCAGAATCACCGATCAGAGGGCAGAAGGGCACGGCGGGCTGCTGAGAGGGCACAGGTGGGTCTATCAGCTGACAGGTAGGAATCAATAACTGCTTTTGCACCGTGAGACCCAACAGGGCTGAACCAGGACAGGAAGACAACTAAAAACCCGGAACCAGGCCAGCGTTTTAAAGTTTGTCTTTCTGAGCATTTTACAAAACGTCCAACAGATCACAGCTGGGTTTTTATTTATTTTTTTGGATAAGGTTAAATTATAATGCAAAGATAAAGTACTGAATTTGAAAAGCTTTCCGTTTCATAGTAATGCAGTGTGGAGACTCTGGAGCTACGTTCACTTCAACTGGAGAGCGTTTCCTGTTCAGGTGAGATCTCATGCCGCTCACCTTTGTTCCAATTTCAACCCCGAGGATGTCAAACTGATCATCTGTGTCATTATTCTACCGAGGACCATCCAAGGCCGGATCAACACCTGGGCAAAGCCAGCAGCTGCCGTGTGACTCCGGACATGTACAAGTCCCAGGACTGCATGGCAGTGGGTTTTTGTAAATTTATAAAATGCTAAAATACAATATCATCTAAGGTGTTATTAGTTAATCCAGGGCTTTGTGGAAGCTGGAAGTGACACAGGACACAATGCACAGTAGGGTTAGGAGTCCTTGAACTCACCAGCAGGAACAGTTACCGACTGCATTAACGCACTATAACTATCCAAAAATTATTATTTTAATCTGACTGTTATAAAATAAAGAAAAGAAAACTGACAACAGGAATGTAAAACATTACAAAGCATAATTGAAAGTCTAAATCAGCTCTGCTCCACAGCAGACGATGATTAACTAGGAAAAAAATTTGTAATTTTGATATTTGATCAGCTGTTTATTAAATTTCTCAGGTTTTAAAATGTAAATATCTGCAGTTTTATGTTAAACTCTTTAATGAAATTAATTTGAATATCAACATTTGAAGAGCTTAATGGGCAACTAATTAATGATGAAAATAATCCCGGGTCGCAGCCCTGTTGGACCCAACAAGCCTTCTAAGCACCTGAATTTGGGAGCAAAGCTGGTTTGAAATAATAATAATAAACATAATTACTGAGCAAATGAAAGGTTTTCATGATTGAACTGGGTCAGTTCTTCACATCATACGAGTTTTTTCTTAAAACATTATGAAGTGACATCCGACGAGTTCAAAAGTACAAATGCATTATAACACCACAATCAAGGAACCGAGGAAAGCCGTTAAGTGAGTTATTTTAGTGTCCAAAAATCTTTCTTGTTTACTTCCACAGCATCCAGTCGTTGCCTTATTTTGTCTGTACTCGTCTTGGGAAGCAAAATGGTGCAAGCTATTGCAAGGTTGAAGAAACTGGGTTTCAAAGAGGTTTAATTTTAAGAGTTATGAAGGCCTCAAATGTGTTAATTTAGGGATTTGCCCAATGAAAACAACCCACCGACAAAAACTGAACCTAACAGAAATAAAGAGATTTAAATGGGTGTACTGGGGTGTAGATGGTGTACTAACCATCTGCTTTCAAAAAAAAAGAAAAAAAAAGAAAAAAAAGAAAAAAAACAGCGGGGAAATGTTAAACCGACGAACTGAACTGACTCTAAATTCCTGCTTCACGAGTGTCCTCAGGTTTAGTGATCTTGTCTTTCAGTACTCACTCCAGGTTGAATGGGGAAGTAAAATGGTGCAATGAAGCAATGTTCAGGATAACAAACATGGCTGCATATAGGAAGGGCAGTCTTCCCAAACCCCATGTTGTTTGTTTAAATTGGTTTGGGATCACTGATTGCTGTTACAACAAATAAAGTTAATGAGTTATCGTCCGACCTCCTGAGTTGATTTATCTTTTTCCTCTCTGCGGTCGTTTTTTGTCTTCAGTTGGTCTTTCTTTAATCCGTTCAGCTTCATTCCATTCTGCAGCAGCCATTTTGCATCCCGATTAAGTAGGCATTCAGTCAGAGTACAAATGCGACCTAAAGATGGCACATGACTTAACTCCTCTATCATGTTGTTTTAGTCTGTTTTGAGTCGTCCCTCTCCTCCTGCTGTTTTTGGGGGAAGCCATTTTGTTTCTCCTCTTCTTTTGGGGATTCAAAATGGTGCCCACTTGAAACCAACCTGCCATGACTTATCTCCTTCACACTCTGTTAAAAGGGATGCAAATTAATGAGCCAAACCAAATTTCTCCGGTTATGATCTGTCTTTTCGTCGGTGTGTATCCTCCCCCTCGCTCCTCTCTGTTAGGAGCTGACCTCCGTCGTCTCTCCCCCCGACTCCACCAGGGTCACCTGACCCTCCTCCCCCTCCATGATGATCCCTCCCTCCTGCAGCACCACCATCTCGCCCTCCTCCTCCACCATGCCGGCCGCTGCCTCCTCCTCATCCTCCTCCCCTCCCACCACCTCCTCGGGGCTGGCGGCGTTGGCGGCGGTGTTTGTGTTGGTGCTGTTGGCCTGACTTTGGGACATGGCCTCCAGTTTGATGCGGTACTCTTCGGCCTCCTGCTCCTTACGCATCAGCTGCTGCCGGTACTCCTGTGCCTTCCTGTTGGCTTCCAGCAGCTGCCTCTGCAACAACTCCTGCAGAAGAAGAAGAAGAAGTCGGCAATCAATCCAATATTCAGGAGACTCATTCCCATCAGTTCTGGATCAATTAGTTCATATGAGAACAATAAACTCAGTGGTCACTTTATTGGCCTCGTTCTTTAAATAAATCAATGTGCATGAAAGCTAACAGGCCTTTTTTTGGCTGCTATTTTGTTTGTTCATCCACCTTGATGCTCAAAACAAGATGAAAAGAATCAACTTACAAGACAAGACATAAACAAGTACCTTTACAAGACCAGCCAAAAACCAAGAGCAGATCTATTAAGGCGAGTGAACACGATGAAGCTGGAGCATTATGAAGTTCGAACCGTATCTGAATCTATACTAATAACAGCAGCTTCAGAAATGAATAGCAGCAACAGAGCTCAGTAATAATGTAATAATGATGCTGTAATAATGTAATGCTGTTATGTTGTATTATAACTGTAACGCTGTAATAATGCCGCAACAACGCTGTAATAACGTTGTAATAATGCTGCAGTAATGTCGTAATAATGCTGCAGTAATGTCGTAACAACGCCGTAACAACGCCGTAACAATGTAGTAACAACGCCGTAACAATGTAGTAACAACGCCGTAACAATGTAGTAACAACGCCGTAACAGTGCCGTAATAATGTAGTAACAATGCCGTAACAGCGCCGTAATAATGTAGTAACAACGCCGTAATAATGTAGTAACAACGCCGTAACAGCGCCGTAATAATTTAACAATGTAGTAACAATTATATTTATCTTAAAAGTGTATTTCAGTCTTTTCAATGTTTTCTTGCTTTTATCTTGTATTGTTTTTGTATTATTGTCTTTACACTTATTAACTTTGTAACTTGTTGAGAAGTGCTCTACAAATAAAGATTATTATTATAATAGTAACAACAATAATACCGTAATAATTTAATAATGCTATAATAATGCTTCAATAATGGCGTAATAATGTAATAATGCTTTCATAATGCCGTAATAATGTAATAATGTTGTAATGCCGTAATAATGCCGTAATAATGCCGTAATAATGCCGTAATAATGCCGTAATAATGTTGTAATAATGCCGTAATAATGTTGTAATGCCGTAATAATGCCGTAATAATGCCGTAATAATGCCGTAATAATGCCATAATAATGCCGTAATAATGCCGTAATAATGTTGTAATAATGCCGTAATAATGCCGTAATAATGTTGTAATAATGCCGTAATAATGTTGTAATAATGCCGTAATAATGTTGTAATAATGCCGTAATAATGTTGTAATAATGCCGTAATAATGTTGTAATAATGCCGTAATAATGCTTTCATAATGCCGTAATAATGCTTTCATAATGCCGTAATAATGCCGTAATAATGCCATAATAATGCCGTAATAATGCCGTAATAATGTTGTAATAATGCCGTAATAATGCCGTAATAATGTTGTAATAATGCCGTAATAATGTTGTAATAATGCCGTAATAATGTTGTAATAATGCCGTAATAATGTTGTAATAATGCCGTAATAATGCTTTCATAATGCCGTAATAATGCTTTCATAATGCCGTAATAATGCTTTCATAATGCCGTAATAATGCTTTCATAATGCCGTAATAATGCTTTCATAATGCCGTAATAATGTAGTAATGCTTTCATAATGCCGTAATAATGTAGTAATGCTTTCATAATGCCGTAATAATGTAGTAATGCTTTCATAATGCCGTAATAATGTTGTAATAATGCCGTAATAATGTAATAATGCTTTCATAATGCCGTAATAATGTAATAATGCTTTCATAATGCCGTAATAATGTAATAATGTAGTAATGCTTTCATAATGCCATAATAATGTAATAATGCTTTCATAATGCCGTAATAATGTTGTAATAATGGCGTAATAATGTAATTCTGTAATAATGCTATGTACCATTAGCCTCATTTATATGAAGTGACGTTAAATAGCTGCATGTGATCGCTACCTTCTTGGTTGGATAGTGTGCTTCAAAAGATCAGTCACACGGCAGTAAACACATCCTCCACTCACCGTCTCTCCAGTGTCGTTGTGATTGTTGGTCACCTCCAGCTTCCTCTTCCTGGAGGGCGGAGGCTGAGGCTCCTCCGTCACCACCTCCTCCGTCACCGTGTTGGCCGGCACCGCCAACACTGAAAACACAGATACAGACTCATGGTTAAATCCTGACGCGACTCGGGAAGCGCTGGACTGAGTGAAGGTCGAGTGTCGTACTCTGCTGTCCGTGCTGCATGGTGACAAAGAATGGCGGCGCCATCCCCCCCGTGGTCTGCAGGTTGCCGTGCTGGTCTGTGACTATGGTGATGACCCTCTGACCCGCCTCGTTGACGACAGTGGCGTGCTGGATGTTGGAGTCCAGAGCGCTGGCGGCCATCGCTTCTTCTGAGTCACCTGAGACACAAAGGACACCTTTACTGCTGGTTTCAAATACAATGTGATGCAAGCAATGGGGGCGGCGAGCTGCTGAGCCATAGGGAGCTCTGCAGGACAGAGCCGGGCGGCGCCGCAGCTTTGAACCAACAAACACCTGCAGTCGGATTTGATTCTGTACTGATAACGGAGCACTTTACCTGCAGGAGGAGCTCAGACTTAACTGCTTTTATTAAATTAACTTTTTGGGGTAAAAACGTTGATTTATCTTCACTTAAGCTTCTCAGCGGCGTTTGCGGTTCCACTGTTGTTGTTGTTGTTGTTGTTGTTGTTACAACAATACTACTACTTCATTTATATAAAAACTGGACACTGCTTGGAGAAAAGAAAGCGAGGAAGTTGAACTAGCTGGTAAGTTCAGAAAATGTGTGTCTGTTACTGGATTCCAGCTGTAGTTGTACATTTAACCGTGAAAGAAGTTAGCATAGCGTAGCCGTGATCAATCAGAGCACCATTCAGAAAACAAACATTTTAGAAGTTGTTTGCTTGTCTTCTTGCTGACTGACCTGACAAAGCAATAATTATTATGTTTAACAAATCAGCATCATGATGTCGTCGTTTCAGCATCAGTTTGATCCATTTACTGAAACTAAATAACAGCAAAATGTTCCGCCCAGCGGTCAAACTCACATGATAAATGTGATAAAATAATATTTGTGCTGTGTGTGAAACCGGCCTGAGAGGTCAGTGTGTGCGTTTGTACCTGCGTTGGCCTTGTTGAGCAGCTCGGCCAGGTTGACCACGCCCCCCTGGATGGCTGGTATTCCCTGGATGATGAACTGCGGCTGGTTGGTGGTGGTGCTGGTCTCCACGTTCATACTCACCTGGTTAATGTTCACCTGGTTCATGTTCACCTGGTTCTGCATGCCCTCCTACACACGCACACACACACACAGTTAGTTAACTTGCTCTGATTGGCTCAGTTCCTGGATGCCTGTAGGATCCAGATGATGTTATATGATCACAGTGAGGTCTGTCCTGAGCTGTTAATCAGTTTCTGACTTCCCTAAAAAAGATAGTACTTCCCTAAAACCACAGCATCTCCTTTTTATGACTAATAATAATAATAATAATAATAATATGCAGTATAATATTTTTTCACTTCACCCACGGAGCATCACGTTCACACAGCGAGCCCTGCAGCCTCTGTGACTTTAGGGAGGAGATCTAATTAAATAACAGGACAGTTTCTGAGAGGTAGCACATCTGTAGGCTGTTTAGACATATGTACAGAAATACAGCGCCAGGGCGGGGGTTATAGCCGAACTGAGAAAAATGGCAAAGTGGCAAATTGACGAGAACAAATAATTCCTGAAATTAAAGTCACAAGAAATCTAAATCAGTCTGGTGTTTTCTTCTGAATACGCCCGATTCACGGTAAAGTCTCTGAGGTGCATGATAACAGAGTTGTGGGCTAAAGTCACGATATTTCCTCACTGCTAAATCCGACAGTCTAATATAATTTCCCGCTGCATGCATAACACACGGCGGACGTGTGGTTGTGATGTTGCAGCCCTGCAAAGTGAAGGGATGTGGTTCCTTGAAAAGAAAAAAAAAAAAGTACAAATGCACACTATTTTTCAGAGTTTCTCTCATATATGTATAAATAAGATGTCAGAATATATTCAAGTTTTTAACATGTAGATTTGTGATTATCAGTTTCTCGTAAATCTACCACATTAATCTTTGAAATTGTTCCCCCTCCCCTCAGGCTCCAACTGTCTCTATCACAACAGACCTTATGTGCTGTTTTATCTTTACATCTTAAATCATATTACACATAAAGAGTCCAGATGACACTAAATACTACAGAGAATTACAGATTTAGTCCATGTGATGCCAACAAGCCTCCCTGGCTTCACCGGCCGCTGCGATATTAGATTTAGCCGCTAACGTGTCTTTAAACTCACGTCCTGACAAACTATCAACCTGCATTCTTCTGGGGGAAATACGGAGCAGGGAAATTAACTCTGCACGGCCGAACACGCCCCTTTTATACTTCACACCGACTCGACTAACAAACATCTGATCCACCGCCGTACGTAAAGTTACGAACCATTCAGCATTTTCACTAGCCCCATTTTTGTTATTGGGAAACATGTAGTCTTTACAGATAAAGACATCAACATTAGCATTTTATTGCATGTAATAAAAGTTAACAATTTAAATATTTATTAACAGCAGCAGTAAATACTGTAATACTGTCCCCCCACTTGGTTTTGAAGTAAACGTACACAGTGTATTTAGTGATCTTCGTGTACTGTTGGTGGATTTGAGATTTAAAATGACGTTCTGTTAATCTGACAGCAAACCCACGGGTCAGAGGTCAGTCTGTCTGCAGATCCTCACCTGCAGCAGCAGCATCAGCTCCGTGTTCTGGATGTCGACGGCGATGTCGAACGGCGTCTTGTCGAACTTACTGAGCGCGTGCACGTCGGCCCCGTGTTTGATGAGCGTCTCAGTGACGCCGTGGTGCCCGTGCTGCGCCGCCCAGTGAAGAGCCGTCATCTTCAGCATGTCTTTGGCGTTGATGTCTGCGCCGCTCTGAAAGGGGAGGGGAGGCACGTTAGAGGCCCTGTGAGGAGCCGTGAAAGGTTCCCAAAAAGACGGATTATTGATCACAGCTGATAACTGGATAATAAACGTCTGAATGTTTCCTCGGCAAAGTCGAGGGTCAAAGGTCACCAACTCAGAACCCCGAAGGAATCGAGAAACCATCCAGACCCCGATGCGTTCTCACCCGGACCAGCAGCTCCACGATGACCGTGTGGCCCTCGGCGGCGGCCATGTGCAGCGGGGTCCTGTCCACCTTGGTGCGTGCGTCTCTGCTGACGCCGGCTCTCAGCAGCACGTCGGCGGTGGAGTAATGGCCGTGCTGAGCGGCCAGGTGGAGGGGGGACGTCCCCAGCTACAGGACACAGGGACAATCAAATCAGTGGTGTGGGCTGATATCAGAAGATGGTGTTATTAGTGAAACAGCTGATTCTCAACTGGTAAACTATCTGTAGGCAGATTATCCAAATAAAGTGTAACCTGTAAATATATCATTACATTACAACATTATACTTTCTATTTAATGTTAAATGCACAGATTTCGGTCGAAAACCCTGCTACGAGGATACAACCTGGTCTGAGGTCAGTTCGGTGACGTTAGCTGAGGGTTTGAACAGCGCAGAGTGTTTTCCGTTACGTGAGAACACGGTGAAGCTAGCTGCACCTTAATCTGGAGTGCACACATATTAGAGCCTTTATGGTAACTGAAAGGTCAGTTAGAGGCTGTGAAGTCATCAAGATCATTTATCAAGCTGGGTCAGACGACGGGAACTTTGCACAAAGATACACTTGTGACAACGTCCGGTTTTAAAACAACGTATATATACAGGATGGAAATAAGATGAATTTAGGGCGGCAGCTAACGATGAGTTTAGTAATCCAGTATTTTACAGATTATTTCATTGATTCATCGTTTAAGAAGTACTTTTGCTTGGCGGCGGCCCAACTCTGAAATAATCCCAGACTTTGGACACTTTCTTCTTCATCCCTCGCTATTTTCTCTCTTCCTCCACTTTGCAGTAACAAATGTCCGTGCGAAGCGGTGAGCTGTATAGTTATGTGGATTAAACAAAGTGTTGATGCAAAGAATTTGTGCTTTTTAGTAATAAAAGTAATCAATAGATCGTTTCAGCTCTAGATTAACTGGATTATATTCACAGGAAGTATAAAACACGTTACACGTGTCCACGTGTAAAGAAAATGTTGGGAAATTACTTTATTCTGCTGGAAAAACAGTAAATTAATTTGCTGACTTTCTTGCGTCGTCGTCACTGTTTACAGACATGACAGAAGTTTTGTCTCAGAAATCAGTCTGGATTATGATTCAAACATGTTCCCCTGATTCAGAGGAAACTCGGTCAGTCTGTTCTTTCACACAATAAATCAACACAGAATATGAGTGTTGAAACATGTTGAGACAGGATTAAATAATCTAACCCCGCGTTGCACACAGTCAGTAACAGACGCTGAAGTCGGCGTCTCACCCAGTCGGTGGTGAACGGCGCTCCGTTGGCCATCAGGTTTCGGACCTCGTCGTCTTGACCTTTGCGAGCCGCCTCCAGCAGGCGCTTCCCCAGGTCCACCAGAGACATCTGCCAATCAGAGACCAGATTATAATCCAGAGACACTGAACCTCTCACACCTTCTGCGACAGGAACACAGCTCAACCTTTCTGAATTATTTTGACTGATATTTCGACATTAGGGGGAACGATTGTTTTTACTTTAGTTGTTTATGTAAAGCAGGATTTGAGGTTGAACTATTTTGTATCCGGCTGTAATTATTTTCATTCTGGATTAATCTGCTGATTATTTTCTCCAATAATCGATTGGAAACATTCTGAAAATACGAGAAACACCGTCACAAGTACTCAATTCTCATTCTGTCCAACCAACAGTGCAAAGCTCATCATTATTACAAATTTATTTAAAATAATAATAAAATAATGGAGAAGAAGGTGAAAGAGGCGTTAAAAAGAAAATACCTCTAATTTCTATCTAAGGGATTTATTCATGTACTTAGCTACTGTCCACCTCTGATTATTCTCATTTTCTGCAGGAATCTGAACCAAACAAAGATGTTTCCTGTTTAACAAACATTTCACCTCCTGCGGTTTGCTGTATTGCTATTAGATAAGATTTTGATTAATTGTTGACCCCTGAACGCAGAAACAGCTTCCTTCAGTTTACAAGTTTGACATGTTTATTTTAACAGAGAATTTAACATCCAGCTAACGGACTTAAATCAGCCACCTCCTCAACACATTTATACTGTTTTTAATCAGTGCGGTGGGATGTAACCCGGTACATTTAGTATGAAAAGACTCAAGTGAAGTACATGTACCTCAATCTTTCCATGCCACCTTCTACACATATTAAACGTTTTACTCCTCTACAGACTGAACCTGTGACGAACAGCAGAGTGAATATGAGGATGGTTTGAGGTGTTTTTCACTACTTTATAAACCAACAGAGAAGAATCCATAACAAAAACAGTCCCAAAAAAAAGGAAGTGTGAGGAAACATTTAACTCAGAAAGTCTGGAGGGGAAATTAAATAGTTTCCATGAGAGACAGTTAGCATCCTCACTGTAAATACCTCAAGCTAACGGATGTGTCCATTATCGGACGTCCTCTAAAATAAACAGGTGATGATCTAAAACACAGCACTGGTGTGAGCGGGTAGAACTGGGAACACTGGTTTTTCTTCAATATGATATTGCGGGCAAAAGCTAGCAAAGTTAGCCCGACGCTCTGTCCGATAATGGATTCAAACTTTCTGAGGGTTTTTTTAAAGGGCGCTAACAACACAGATAATATCAACTAAACACACAGAAAACAATAACCTCACAACGAAAATAAATGATTACAGATTTTAAACACGGAGCACTGGTGTGAGTGGGTTGTGTGCGGTTGAACTGGGAACACTGGTTTTTATTTAACGGGACAAAGTGTCCAGAAGCTGGCAAAGTTAGCCCGACGCTGCTCTGTCCGGTAATGGAACCCGCAGCACCACACGGCCGTGCGATAGAGAAACAGCGCAGAGAGACGAGGCTTCTCTCTCCGCGGCCGAGGAGCCATTTTACGCGCCTTCGCGGACAGAAAAAGAGTCCGCCATGTGCCACGTACCCCCGTCTCCCCTCTCCCCGGGCTGCCGTTTACCGCCACACCCGTTCAAAAAGCACCACCCGCTCCACCTAAACATTTACAGCAACACAGACAGGAAACCGTTTGATATTAAGTTGTTGGTTTTCCGGAGGAAGTCGGACAGAAATTTCCTATTTTACACACACGGAGAAAAAACTACTTCCACATCCGGTTAACTAGCATTCTTCAAGCGCGCGCGCGCCGTCAAACAGCGTACAGGAGGATTTATCTTTAATTATCTCTAACAGCGGTTATTATTTATTTTTTGTGACCGTTTCACGCGTGAAGACGAAGAAAAAGGTTGTTCTGTTCCGCCGGAGGAGGCCGGAGCAGCTACTCACCGTGTCCAGGTTTGTGAGGAGCCAGCCGGGGAGCTCTGCTGCTAATGTTAGCACGCTAGCCGGCTAAACGGAACAAATCCCCGCGGTGTGCGGAGGCGTCTTCGCGCTGTTATCTCTCTGCGTTTAGCACAAACAGGTCAGTAATGTGCAGACTTTCATTCAATGCGCTAAAACATGGACATTAAGGCGCCACTGCGGCTCGTCTGGCTCCTGCGGGCTTGTTTACTGCGGACAGTTACCCGGCGCACGCCCGGATGTTATGGGTGCAGCCTTCACAATAAGAGCGGAAAGCGTAGGTTTTTGAACTCGGGTTTGGGTAAAATGGTGGAAATCTGAAGTTATTTTACTGTGAATAATGTGTAATTCTGTGTGTCTAATATACAAAACGAGACTGTTATATGTGCGAGAGACAAACTCCAACAAACTCATCAGACGTGACAGACAGGAAGTTAAAAAACAACACGATGAGGAGGATTTAACTGAAGGTCGAATGATGGAGTTTTTATTTTATTTAAACTGTACAATAAAGATATTTAGTTATATTTTGCTAATTTAGTGACAATTAAACGTTGCTTTCACACCCGCATCGTGTTTTATCCGTCAGTCCGCGTTTTATGTTGAAAGTCCTGGCAGGAAGTGCGGTGTTGATCGTGTCTGCGTTGACGCTCGTGTTTACCAGCTAGTTCTGTTAGCCTGTTAGCCTGTTAGCATGCAGACTGTTAGCAAGTTAATTTTAAAGCGTGTTTTACCTTCTTCTCTCGTAGATTCCCGCGAGTTTACGTCTCCCGGCGTGGATCAGGTTCTGACAGGTGCCCCCCCCGCCGAGAACGGTTTTTAATAAATAGTTATTTTTGTGTTTTATCTGGTACAAATATGGCGGCCACTCGACACCGGAGGTGGAAGCCAGAGTGAGTTAACCTCCCCCGTGGGCGGGCTCTGTGACGACACTGTGGAACAGACCTGAGGTCAGTGACGGCGGGTGTCTCAGTCTGACGGTGCCGCAGCGCAGAACGCTCGGCTGACCTCAGACCAGCCCGGAGAGCAGGCGCATTCCTGCCTGCAGAGCTCTGCTCTCAGACCCGAACGGCGTTTAAAAGCTGCTGGTTCTTATTTATCAGGAACTGTTGATCAGATGCTGATACGCATTTTATTAGTAACTAATTGCACATTGAAATCTGTGTTGCTCTGCAGTTCAGATAGCAGCTGACATTCATACTAGTAATTAATAATATAGTTATTAGCACTATGAGATCTATCTGTTTCTGTTTTACTGGTATCTGTTATTTATATACTAGCACATTAGTCACTAGGAACTATTCCAAAAGATACTAGTAACACTTGAATTCTTACTTGTAAATGTTTATTTATTTTTTAACAAACACACACTTTTACTGTTTTTAATTATTTTTATGTAATTAACTGTATGAAATTACTAGTTCTTTGTTTATTATATTTTTTATAGGCTTTGGCAACATTGTTGTTTGGCAAATAAAGCTGAATTGAACTGAAAATGGAAATAGTTTGTAGTTCCTAATAAAAAGGTAATATCTGAACTGCAGAGCTTCATATTTAAACGGTAAAAAATTTTGCAATTGGTTACTAGTAACTAATGGAATAGTTATAAATAACTAAAATTAAGTACTAGTATCTAATAAATTGTTACTAGTAAAACAGGGATAGTTACTAGTAACTAATAAATAAATACTAGTAGATGTTAAATAGTGACTAGTAAGGTTTAAGGAATAAATGTTCAAATAGCTGCCAGTGTTCATTTAAAAACAAGAGTTAATTATAAATATTTGTGGTTTGATATTGCAAAGCAAAGATGAACATGCAGTTCTTTATCTACTGAATTGTTTTATCCGCAGTGTAGAGCTGTTAAATCATCCCGCTAAAAATGTTTAAGTCGTTTAAATTAAATGTTAAACCTTCAAAATTCCAAAAGGACCTAAATGATCCTAAAACACTTTCCCACTGAACTAAATATCTGAACGTTACTGAATTCTCCCCTTGTATTATAATTTCTTAACACTAATTTTAATTTATTTCTACTTAATGTATTTTTAGTCATTAGTATTCTTGTTCCCTCTGCCGATGTTTTCTCTCTGGATTATGTGCTGCCATGTCTGTTTTTAAACTTCACATGTTTTAGTAAAATATTAAGATATGCAGATGTGGATAAATGATTTATTCCAGCGTCCTCATGTTGTTTTTGTTTGTGTGTACATGTTGTACACTGACAGTAATGTGAAATTCCTCCTATGTTCATTTAAGGTGATTCTGGTGTTTTCAGACATATTTACCAAACAAAAACGGCTAATTACTGCTTTTCTTTTCATTCAGTGAACTTTAATAAAGCCAATTATGTGGCTGCTCTTATCTGTTTATTTTCATATTTGTCAGTTTGTTTGAACTCTTCCTCTTTATTTTACTGATTGATTCACTCTTAAATCTTTGTTTATAATCAGTTTTTTTTTTTTGTCAGTGCTTGAATACAAATAAAGATGTGTGATCTTCTCACAGGGACGAGACTCCATTTCTTCCACTTTCTTCTCGTCTCGGACGCTAATGTCCCGTTTGTTCTCACGATCACTTAGAAAAATTTAATGATATTAGAGTTCATAGAGGACGTCAGCATTGATGAATAAGCTACTGAAAAATAAAAGCTTCATTTAAATCAGAAACTTTATTTTTTCTGCATTGATTAAGCTGTAGATGCACAAACTCACCTGTGAGCAGATACGCATCACTTCCTTTCTAGGAGACGACGTGAACCCGGTCTCATATTTACAAACTTGAGTTTGAAGAAAAACAAAATCATGTTGATCAAAAAACAGATAATTTCTTTTATTGTTGGCAGGTGTTCAGGACATTCGGACAGGTGAACGGTAGTTTTTCTTCCTGTGGTTCAGTGAAACAGCGCGACAAATAAATATAAATAAATAGATCTGTAAATGAAGCAGCTCTGGATAAAAGAACTAAAAGGCACAGATGGAAACAGATAATAACTGTCGTCTCTGGGGGAGTTTGAACGCATCACAGCTGTTTCTCAAACATTCACTAAATAAATAATGGAATAAATAAATTACTGATCTGACACAAAGAAAACTTTAAACAATCAACGGTGGATCAATACAGTGTTTCTATTATTTTGTCCACATCCAGAAGGCTTTCATCCGTCTCCTTTTTCAAACTGGAACCTTCAAATCTGATCAGAATCTGGTTTCAGTGTCAACACGAGGACAGCTGATCTGGGACCAATCACATCGCTGGGATTACTCAGTACTTCCTGTAGGGTTCAGGTAAACGGCGTCGGTCTTATTCAGAGTGAAGACTCGTTTCAGATCCACTAGATCAGATCCTAATTACAAAAACAGAAGCTGAACTAAAGAAGTGATTCAGAGAGTGAAGAATCTGAACCAGGATCAGCCTCAGCACCTCGGCCCGGTCTTATTGTGAAAACCAAGCTCTTAATTTGGTGACTTCCTGACACGGTCACGTTTCTTCAGTAACGGGACAGGAAGTGAGGCCTGCAGAGGCTGATCTGGGGTCAGAGGTCAGGTGATGGAGGGGGCTGATCTGGGGTCAGAGGTCAGGTGATGGTGGAGGCTGATCTGGGGTCAGAGGTCAGGTGATGATGGAGGCTGATCTGGGGTCAGAGGTCAGGTGATGGTGGGTTGTGTTTCAGAGCAGCAGGTTGAGGTCGGCCAGCAGAGCGTCCACGTTGGCGATGGGAGCTCTCCAGTAGTTAAAGGAGGAAAACTCCGTAAGGGCGACCTGCAGACAGACGTTAGCATCGTTAGCATCGTTAGCATCACAGTCTCACTCCCAACTCGTCATCACATATGGACGCTTGGCCAGGACCCCTTGGTGTCGCTTTTTAACGCCCTGGGAACCCTTTAGCACCGTATTCGACTTTCAAAATAAAACATTAACGTTGTGAAATGTAGCAGTATACTCGGTAGGGCCGGGAAATTAATGTAAATATAATCAAAACTGAAGTAAAGTCGGTTATTTCAGTTATTCAGTCCTGTTAATATTGTGTCTGTGTTCAGATCCTAATGCGTGCGTGGTCACGTGACTCCGGCGAATAAAACAACAACAAGAAACAAAACAATCGTAATCGAGGTGAAATGTTCAGTTAATCGGGATTTTGATTTTAGGTTAAATCGTCCAGCCCTCTAGCTCGGCCAGGTTAAGATCACTGGTTTGGGTTAAAAATCAAACATCAGTTAACCTCTTAGCATTCAGGCCAAACGCCTCTTCAGGCAGATCCACAGTAAACTGATTAATATCAGTTTAAACACACTGAAACTGATGGATAGAAAATGAGAAGAACAAGTTTAAACTTCACACCAACACCATGAAAAATGACTCAGTGTCAGCCCCGCCCCCTGGCGGCAGGCGGGCGGCGGCTGCTGCGTCGCTCCGTATCAGCAGGCAGCTCCACGCAGACGTGCGTTTCTGCTGGTAGATCATGAACTTCCTCCTTAAAGCTGGATGTCGTTATTTGCAGAATCTTATTGGCTACAGGAAGCGCCAGTCGTCGGCTCTATTGGCTCGGCCTACCCGGGAAATAACGGGGGCCGGCCCTTCCTCGCAGCGCCGGCTCTCGTTGGCCGCTGTAGGCTGTGAAAAGGACACGTGAGCTCCTATTGGCTCGGATCAGCCGTCAGCGGAAAGGTCAGAGTTCAGCCGCTAATCTGAATACAAGCTGTCGTAGCCGTTTACATTCAGATCAGAGTTATTCCGGTTATAAAGACAAACGAGCCGCCGGTGAATCTGAAGCGGTGCGGCAGCCGTCCCTGAGGATTTACTGATGGAATCGTGTGTTTTGGACTAAATGTTTTACTGGACTGGATCGTCTGGACCTTTGACAACGTTTCTGTTGGAATATGATCGATGGCTGGATTAAGTTACTGTGAGGCTTCACAGGGGAGTCGCCTCACTTTTGATTGGACCCGCTGTGGTGACTGAATCTTGAAATGGTTTGCGTTGGTCGAGTCACGAGGATTTACTTTCAGACGGTGGATCGTATGAGCATGAAGTTAAAACAGCAGCTGTGTGCACAGACTGAGAGCTGCAGGCCGCTGGAATCTAAAGAGGTTAACTTACAGTAAGTAAGTTAAGTAAGAGGGTGTGATGGCGCAGTGTGTGAGACCCGGGTTCAATCCCTCACTGTGTCCCTGAGCAAGACACTCGTTGCTCCAGAGGCTGCGACCTCTGACACGTACAGCAGCTGTAAGTCTGTAAGCTTTGGATAAAAGCGTCAGCTGAATGAATAATTATTGTTATTTTAGTAAAGTTATTTACATACGTAACTTAAATTAAACATTTAATGTTGCTGGTTTCTGCTCATATGTTAATTATGTGTTTACTAACAATAAAGACGTCTGTCCCCTCACCTCCTCCTCCTGACTCCTCTGTGAGGACGACTTGTCTTTTCCTGTGATGCTATTGGCCGGCTGAGCGTTGGCCAAACCCAGATCCTCCAGCTCCGACAGGTCGAGGGCCGGGATTGGCTGCCTCCAGAAGAGGAAGGAGTCGTATTGGCTGTTGGACTTCAGCATGTTTGGATCTGAGAATTAAAAGGACAGAAACTGTGACTGAGCTCAGCTGGAACGTCCTCCCGGCGTCCGTTAGATAACCGAGTGAGTGTAATTTGCTTTATTTTGTCAGGTTATATTTGTTTAATCTTGGATTAGTTTGTTGTTTTGTCCTGAAGTCAGTTCTCAGCTGAGTTTAATCTCAGTAATCTCTGAGACGAGGGAGAGAAACCCTTTCAAATGAAAACACGTCTGATCTGAGGAACCGATTCAATAACAACATAAGAATTCTTGGATGTTAGACGTTAAAGAGTTTGTTGCAGAGAACTTATTTCTCCGTGGGCACGAGTTTTCAGTGCGAATGATTTGCATGTCTAGCATTGACGATATAAAGACGTAGCCGCCGGCATCCCCCGTTGGTTTGGGGACTACCCTTCTGAAGGGTCCAGTTTGGCATTTTGGAACCAGACGTGACCATATTTGGACAAGAGGGCGGAGCTAGCTAGTGTGGTTAGCAACATGCATCTGTTATTCATGTTAGCTGTTATGTTAGCTGGGATGCTAATTTTAGCTAGCGACAAACAGGCTAAAAACAAAACGTTCTTACCGGACAAACAAGCAGCCAACTCCTGATGAGCTTTTTCAGCGGCGCTGGTTAAATTTACACAGAGCAGCGGGTACGAGTCGCCTCTATCCTGATTGTCAATCAGCTTGTAGCCCCGCCCTAAAGCCTCCCCTGCTTCCTGGTCTCTGTTCCTCTAAATGGGACCATAATTTACTAAATGAACATCATGCTGTGTTGAAGAAGACTTGAAACTAGCGACTGAGACCAGAAACTCATCAGGAAAGTGTTTACTGAGGGAATAAATCAGCTGACAAGTAGAAACATTTTCTCACAGACTTCTATAGAGTCGCCCCCTGCTGGCTGCTGGAGAGGACGCAGGTTTAAGTCGCCCCCTGCTGGCTGCTAGAGAGGACGCAGGTTTAAGTCGCCCCCTGCTGGCCGCTAGAGAGGACGCAGGTTTAAGTCGCCCCCTGCTGGCCGCTAGAGAGGACGCAGGTTTAAGTCGCCCCCTGCTGGCCGCTAGAGAGGACGCAGGTTTAAGTCGCCCCCTGCTGGCTGCTAGAGAGGACGCAGGTTTAAGTCGCCCCCTGCTGGCCGCTGGAGAGGACGCAGGTTTAAGTCGCCCCCTGCTGGCCGCTGGAGAGGACGCAGGTTTAAGTCGCCCCCTGCTGGCCGCTAGAGAGGACGCAGGTTTAAGTCGCCCCCTGCTGGCCGCTAGAGAGGACGCAGGTTTAAGTCGCCCCCTGCTGGCCGTTAGAGAGGACGCAGGTTTAAGTCGCCCCCTGCTGGCCGCTAGAGAGGACGCAGGTTTAAGTCGCCCCCTGCTGGCCGTTAGAGAGGACGCAGGTTTAAGTCGCCCCCTGCTGGCCGCTAGAGAGGACGCAGGTTTAAGTCGCCCCCTGCTGGCCGCTAGAGAGGACGCAGGTTTAAGTCGCCCCCTGCTGGCCGCTGGAGAGGACGCAGGTTTAAGTCGCCCCCTGCTGGCCGCTAGAGAGGACGCAGGTTTAAGTCGCCCCCTGCTGGCCACTAGAGAGGACGCAGGTTTAAGGCGCCCCCTGCTGGCCGCTGGAGAGGACGCAGGTTTAAGGCGCCCCCTGCTGGCCGCTGGAGAGGACGCAGGTTTAAGTCGCCCCCTGCTGGCCGCTGGAGAGGACGCAGGTTTAAGTCGCCCCCTGCTGGCCGCTAGAGAGGACGCAGGTTTAAGGCTCTTCAGCGTTCAGACCCGGAGCTTCCTGCTTGGTGTCTACCTTCCTGTGAGGTCATTAAATCTCTGCAGACTGAAAGCAGCGTCGGCTTATTTTAAACCTGCTCTGGTTTTATTTTTACCTTGTCGCTGTTTACAGAGAACAGACTGAACCTTTTACTGTAACACAGGAGCTTCATGCATCAGTAATATGATATAGACAGTAAATAAAGACTCAGTCAAGTTTTGATGAGAAACTAATAAAAAAAAAAGATAAAGATTTATTTCCATTGAAGCTGTAAATTAAATTTAACATAAGACAACGACTCTGAACTCCCCGATTAGATAAATTAATCAATAACAGCTCTCAGATCAGTCTGTCGGTGTCGCTCCTCAGAATCTCAGCTGTAATTTCAACAGCAGAGCTTTTCTCTGTCTGACTCCTTTTATAGAGTCACAAACTCCAAAGAGCCCTGAAAGCCTCTCAGCTGATTTCTATAACCTGTTAATTAACTATAAATCATCCCACAAGACTGATTCACTGATTTCAGATCACTTCAAACTGCAGGTCTGAATAATCGATGTGTTAAAATCAGGTCCTTTTATATTTAACCGTCTGAGTATATTTACTTCCAGGGAGGGGTCCTCCATCAGTGACTCATTTTATATATATATATGTATTTATATTCTGCTTATTTCTGTCTAGAACAGAAACTGGGTCATCAGACTGAAATAAACCACTCAGCACTCTCACTGATGATTCCTCTTGGCCACCAAACTACATTCACATTTCTGTCGTTTTTATATTCGGCTGGTTTTCTTCTGGAACAGGCGTGTTGGTCTCGAGGTGTTGCCCCGGCTGCTGATTGGCGTTTCATCGTCATTGTTTTTAATTAAAAAGCGTCACCGCTACCTACATTTTTGCGTCCTGTCTGTTTCTGATGTGACGTTTAAAATCGAGGGATAAATCGATGACTGATCAGGGCTGCATTTGAGGCGTTGGCCCGGTGTTCTGGCTCATCACCAGCCGAAGATGCAGCCGAATAAAACCGACTTTACACGAGCTCTCCCTGACATTTATCACATGAATGCACCTTAAATACCCAGATTCGGACATTCAGTTTGGTTGCGCGTCGTTTTTTAAAGGATTTAATTAGCAGCAGGTTCCAGTTTCACCGGCTTTTCACGCAGAAAACCGACAGAAATGTTTCCTGCAGCCTGAAAATCATCGGATTTAAATAAAACAGCTGTTACCTTCTTGTTTTCGGTGAGAAAATAAAGCTTTCTGTGATTTATCTTCTTTGTTCTGCTGGTTTCTTTTGTTGCAGAGGGTTCAGATGCTGCTGCTCTGCTGCTGCAGGTCAGAATGAGCTCTGCGCCTGCGTCAAGCTCACCTGACTATACACCAAGGCTTCCGTTTATGCATTTCAAAATAAAAGCCATGTTTACGTCCCTCAGTTGAGCTTGTTGGTGATTTTAGTGAACACACTCCAGCAGATTTACATGAGACAAAGAAAAGGCCTTTTCAGAAGTCTTACGGTCTATTTATTCATCTCAGGGGAAACATATATTCACTTTATGTCCCCAGAATTACCCAGAAAGACACAGCAGGTTGTTATCCTAAAATCACACATTTATTTTGAAATACATGTAAAGTTCCGGTTTGTTCGGTGTGTTTCACACACACACACACACACACACACACACACACACACACACACACACACACACACAGCATACCCAAAAGATGGTCTTATAATAACTATAAGCAAATCAATAATTAAATTACAATCGAATAAACTCGATTTAAAAAATACACAAGTAAATAAAATAAATTTACGTAACATATTTAAATTGATCGATCGATTGCCTCTACTGACTCTGGACTCTGACTGGAGACTCGTCTGTACTGACTCGGGACTGGGACTAAAGACTCGTCTGTACTGACTCGGGACTCGGACTGGAGACTCGTCTGTACTGACTCGGGACTTGGACTGGAGATTTGCCTCTACTGACTTTGGACTGGGACTGGAGACTCGTCTGTACTGACTCGGGACTGGGACTAGAGTCTCGCCTCTATTGACTTTGGACTGGGACTAGAGACTCGCCTCTACTGACTTGGGTCTTGGACTGGAGACTCGGCTCGGGACTCGAAGGTGTTAGACTCAGGGAAAATGGGCAGCGTGAGGATTTGATTTTGACAAGGGACAGATTGTGAATGCTAGATGAGGGGCCCACAGTGAATTGGCAGACGCTTTTATCCAAAGCAAGTTACATTTGAGGAACAACATTCAAGCACCAGTACAGCGAGAGATCTACACGTTAGTTACCGGTAAGGGCTGGTACAGCATCAACGGGGTGAACACCTAGGGGAGGTTAGAGGTGTTCTCTGCTGAGGTTTCAGGAGCTTCTTGAAGTTAGAGGGACGCCCCTGCTCTGATGGCACGTGGCAGCTCGTTCCACCATCGTGGGGTCACAAACTACCAATAATCAATTTACTCAGCGAGAGCCTGGAACAAGCTCAGATCAGAGGGTCCCTTCAGCTCCTCGGCCGTGAGCAAAGTAAAAGATGAACAATAAAAAGTCCCGTGATACGTTACCGTGTTGGGTTCTCTGGCCACAGATTCCACCACTGAATATAACATCTGTAACGAGCCTGTTGAGTCAGCAGGAGGAGCTGTTTGACTGGAAGTAAACGGGAAGCAAAGGAAGAAGGAAAAGGAGAAAAACTGAAGTCCTTCAGGGAAAGAGAGGGAGGGTGGATGGATTTCCTGGTTGGAGCCACACCTCAGAGAGAGAGAAGCAGACTTGTGCTTCATGATCTCAGTCTGAAGCGTTCAGGCGGCCGGCCGGTTGGTTTCTGATCTTCTCTGGTGAGTCTGCTGCTGTTCTTTTTAAACTGCTCAAACTTTACATCCACATGCAGGAAAACCTCTCTGTGAATTCAGATTCAAAGCTCCTGGACTGTTTTACAGGAAGGTAACAGCTGGAGGGATCAGACTCACATGACTAGAACAAATGTAATTAAAACATTTAGATTTTTAAAGAAAAGGTTTAATTAAAGCACCTTGGGTTGTCTTAATGTGTGTGTTTTATACATTAAGGGATACTTTTTTGAAGCATTTGAACTCGGTCTGGCAGCTCGGGGACACCGGTGTTACACTTTTTTATGTGACCCGTCCTGATTTGTGATTTTAGGGCTTGAAAGGATCTCGAAGTGCGTTTCCTCTCAGTTAAGATTATTCCTAATCAGGTCATAAGATCCAACGGGCCACAGAATAATCTGTAACACCCCAACTTATTTGTAAATCTCTAGATTTTTGTCTTAAAGTAGTTTGAATTTCTTCTTTACATCAACTAAAACTGTGTCAGATAATAAGTTTAATCTCTGTGTGTCCAGAAAAGAGTCACATCCAGGACGTGGTTAGCTTAGCTTAGCACAAAGACTGAAAGCAGGGGGAATCTGCGCACCTAGCTCTGTCCAAAGTAAAATAAATAAGCTTCAAATTTAGTCAATTTCAGTCACAGAAACCTTGTTAAGCTCCCAGTAGTGCTAATTCAGTATGATATCCATTATCAACAATGGGGGCAAGTTATGCTAACAATAACCAGAAAGCTAATTTTAATTTAGATTTGGACCAAAAGCAGACAAAAAAGTCTGGAGAATAAAAGAGAAGGATATTTATTGTAAGGGGAATGTAGATGGAGGGAGCAGAGAAGCAAAGGCAGATGAGAAAAGAGCTTTAATTAATTTTCTAATAACCAAACTTCTGTTGTTGATGTTAAGCTAATGTTTATCAAGCTAATGATATTTAGACATGTTAGCTTGCTAACTTAAAGGTACGCTGGTGGGGTTGTCTTACATTTTACGAAATGCTCTTGTTCTCTGTTTTGTCTAAAGTCAAAAAGTAAAGATGTGTGTGTCCAGTACAGAGATGTATTCAGGACACGGTGATCCTAGCTTAGCACAATGACTGGAAGCAGGGGGAAACTGCTAGCCTAGCTCCATCCATCTAAAGAGGACAAAAGCATCATGTAGGCCTATAGGTGTTTAAAACGTGGGTGCAGATTGTCAGTCAGTAGAAAACTGTAAGGAAAACCTTCTTTGATCCCTGACATCACAGCAGATCAGTCATGTGGAGGTTAAAGGTCAGAGGTCACAGGGTTCAGACAAACACTGATGTGGCCGCTGAGATCAGGAAGAAGTGTTTAAGGAAACTCTCAGCTAAAAATATCCCTGTGCCGCCCCCTTCGCTGCCTGGTTTCCATAGTTTTTCTGAAACATGTTTTCAGTGAGAAGGTCCAGATCTGGAGCCAAATTACAGGTCTGGAGTCAGTTTATAGGAAGAAGCTGCTGGCTGCGGTGATCTGGAGGAAACACTGCAAAGCTCTGTTTCACTGTTCCTGAGTCAGAAACAGGTTTATTGCCAAGTAGGTTTTCACATGTAAGGAATTTGCTTTGGGGGAGATATTTGCCCATTACGCCACATTCAAGTGCTGTTGGAGAAATGTGTGGTAGTTTTGGAAACTCTTACATTTTGAACAGTGTGTTGGTAAAACAACATTTTACCTCAGTGGTTTACTGTCGTCTGGAAGAAAAATTAAACATTAATGTATCCTTTAAAGCAGCTATAATCAATATTCTTATCGCAACAGTGCTACCCACAGAGCATGGTCACCATCTCTGCAGCCTCTTTTAGATGCTAGCTTTGGTTTTTTGATGCAGATTTACTTGGACAGGTAAAAGCACAGTGATGGTGACATTTTAAAGATGCTGGCAGGAGGACAGCAGAGCAGAACAGGTGATGATAGGTGTGACATGTAAAATATGTTGTGAATGAAACAGATCTCAGACTGAGTGGCCCAGTTGTTAGTCTGACCTCCTGACAGATAAACCAGTTAGTGTTGTTTACAGCTGCAGTGTGTTGGTTTAATCAGAGAGAATGTGTGTCATATAAAGACACACACACTGATAGTCTCTGGATGTTTCTGGATAGTTTCTGGATTGTCTGTGGTTGGTTTCCGGATTGTTTGTGGTTGGTTTCCGGATTGTTTGTGGTTGGTTTCCGGATTGTTTGTGGTTGGTTTCCGGATTGTTTGTGGTTGGTTTCCGGATTGTTTGTGGTTGGTTTCCGGATTGTTTGTGGTTGGTTTCCGGATTGTTTGTGGTTGGTTTCCGGATTGTTTGTGGTTGGTTTCTGGATTGTTTGTGGTTTCCGGAATGTTTGTAGTTTCCGGAATGTTTGTGGTTAGTTTCTGGATAGTTTGTGGTTAGTTTCCGGATTGTTTATGGTTAGTTTCCGGATTGTTTGTGGTTAGTTTCTGGATTGTTTGTGGTTGGTTTCTGGATTCTTTGTGGTTAGTTTCCGGATTGTTTGTGGTTTCCGGAATGTCTGTGGTTGGTTTCCGGAATGTTTGTGGTTAGTTTCCGGATTGTTTGTGGTTAGTTTCCGGATTGTTTGTGGTTAGTTTCCGGATTGTTTGTGGTTGGTTTCCAGATTGTTTGTGGTTTCCGGATTGTTTGTGGTTTCTGGAATGTTTGTGGTTGTTTTCCGGAATGTTTGTGGTTGGTTTCTGGAATGTTTGTGGTTGGTTTCTGGAATGTTTGTGGTTGGTTTCTGGAATGTTTGTGGTTGGTTTCCGGAATGTTTGTGGTTGGTTTCCGGAATGTCTGTGGTTGGTTTCCGGATTGTTTGTGGTTGGTTTCCGGATTGTTTGTGGTTGGTTTCTGAATTGTCTGTGGTTGGTTTGTTGTTAGTTTCTGGATACTTTGGGGTTAGTTTGTGGTTAGTTTCCGGATAGTCTCTGGATCGTTTCTGGTTAGTTTGCTGATATTTCTGGTTAGTTTCTGAATCATTCTCATTGTTTGTGGATTGTTTCTGGTCAGTTGGTTGTTAGTTGACTGGTTAGTTTCTTAGTGTTTCTGGTTGGCTTCTCTTTAGTTTGCTGATGTTTTCGGTTCCCACAGCAGCTCTGACTCGTCTGCGGTGGATCAGGTTTTGCCTCTCTGCAGACAGTTCAGGTCCAGCAGCAGACATGTGTCATCACTCCTCACCTCTGTGAGAGCTGAACGCTCTGCTAAGCTCACCCTTCAAACAAAAACGTGTCTATCAGTTAAATGTTTTCGGGACTTTCTCACTGACTCAGAGTTTTGGGATTGAACTCGGTCCACTTGTCTGGATTTATGCTGTACAAGTCTACAAGTCCTCAGTCCTCAGTGTTCACAGCAGCATGTGGCTGCTGGACTCTGACCTCGGTGTTTGTTAGTGTGCAGAGAAGTAGATTTAACCTTCAGCCTTTACAAACACACACACAGCTGCCAAAGCCAATGCAAACACAAATACACTTTTAATACAAAATAATATAATCTGCTTATATTATTAAACGGTTTAGCCTCTTTCTGTT